GAGGGGGCAGCATCCCGGCAAAGGGGTGCCTGGGCTGCGGGCTGCGCCAAAACCTGTAAGGGACCCCCACCCGGGGAGCTTCTGGGCTGCTCAGACGTTGAGTGCTGTGGTCTGGGCAATGAGAACTGAGGTAAGATGGAAGAGCATGGCAGAAGTCAGTGGTTTTTAAGTGAGGTTTAATTTTTACTCACCCAGGACAGTTAGCTGCTTGGTTTCTCTAATGCCAATCATGTGCATAAACACGTGCCCTCGGACCCTCACCCTTTTTCTTCTTTAATATTCCAGGTGCTGGAAGTGGCTTTTGAGATGAAATTCCTTTTGTACTGAATAGAGTGTAGCGCTACCTGTCTCATCGCTGCAGTGCACCTAGGGGTGTCATTACTCAGAGGTGGCTGATCGCCCTTCTGGCTGGGAAAGGAGAGGAGTTTGTATCAGCTTCATCATTGCTCACCGGTTTAAATCTTTAATGACATCTAGACGTAACCTGAAAGGCACTGGCCTAAGCAAGAGCGTTGGGTTTTGCTTCTCGCTGAGAGGGGGAAACCGCCGCCTGTCAGATCACACTTGGAGTCGGTGTAATCCTCGGCCTCGATGCCTACGGGAAAACTCGGGCTGCACGTGGCTGGCGACGGCTGTCCGGCACGCCGACCCCGGCCCATGGTCCCGATGGTTTTCCCATCTACTTGTACCCATCTGTCTCTCGATTTTCACTTGGGCTGCGAGCTCTTTGGGACAGGATGGGTATTTTTCCGTACGTGTTTACAGCCAGTATACAAATATTCTCTCGGCCGGCACAAGGCGTATTTCAGAAAATGAATATGTATAAATTCTTCTTTTGTTTTCTGCTCTTTCGAACTGCTGCCTTGGGGAGATCGCAAAAATACACACACACCCCTGCAGAGTAAAACCTCTCCTCAAAGGAAACATTAAACACAAACACCTGAACTTGGACTAAAATCATCAGTATACAGTGTCTCTTTTGGCCTTCCTTTGGAAGAAAACCACTATTCAAATGCCACATTAAATATGCTCTGCTCGTGTGGAGAGTTCGTTTAGTTTTCCTAGAATAATTCCATTCGTCTCACATGGCTTAGCCTGCAGAAAGACTGAACGCAACCTCAGTGATATTTTAAGGTTGCAATTTAATCGGCAATTGACATTGGAAAACTAAATATAAACCCAGGAAGAGCCTGTTGCTGAGTGGAGGTAACTCCTGGTCAGTTCCAGGCCTGAAATAATACAACCTTGGTATCGTTTATTTGTCTCTTTTTGTCTTGAGGTTGGCAGCAGAGCTGGAGCAGCCTTTGCTACGTCTTCCTTTTTCCACTTGCGTTTGCATCCGAGATGGAAAGCAGAAAAAAAAAACCCCAAACCCATGCCAGAACGAGGGACTTTCTGTTCCCTCTTGCAGTGGGAGCATCGTAGTCGCAGGAGAGGAATGCTAATGCTGAAAAACCAGAGAGCTGGTTTGTGTTGGGAATCTCACCAAGGTGTCTGCGCCCAAGCCCCACGGGAAAGAGCTGTTCCAGTGGTGGCAGGGACCCTGGGGGGACGCAGATGCTCTCAGGAGTTACTCCCATTTACGTTTTTGCACAAGGCTCCGCAACATCGGTACAACCATGCCACCTTGTGTTAATTTGTGTTTCCTTATGCCCTTGAGCAGGCGGAGGAAAAAAGTAAAAGAGTTTTTTTGCGTGTGTATATGTATGTCATTTTCTAGGTCATTTTTTAGTGCTGTCAGTTGTTCCCTTCTGTCTCCCTGTCTGAGCCTGGTTGTGTATCAACAGCAAGTGAAGTGATTCCGCTCTGTCACTTGGGACTTTAAAATTTATCAGAATAAAGACATTATATTTCACAGTTATATTTTCCAAATACGTTAAGGATGAAGTTGGGCTCTTGAGGTGTGTATGTGTCAGCCCAGCATGGGTCACTCTTTCTGGACTGCCATAAACACCCTGCTGAGGAGCGGGTTATGCCCCAGCTCAGGGGAATTTAGTCCATTGTGCCCCCGACTGCCTGGAAGTTTTGGGTGGGCAGGGGTCATTTTGCTAGAGAAATGACTGTGGATTTTGCACCACGGAGTCAGTAGCATTAGAAGTGTTTTATTATGAGGAGTTGCCTGTGAGGATGCTTGAAATTTAAAAAATATGCTCTGGGTATGCATAAAGTTTTTCAAAAGAAAATGTATTCATTAAACTGTGGCCTCTTTTCTACCTAGTCGGCAGCAGAATACGTGAAGTCCCGCCTGCCTGAAGTCCTAAAACAACATCTCCAAGACTATGAGAAGGACAAGGAGAACAGTGTGCTGTCTTACCAAACCATCCTGGAGCAGCAGATTTTATCGATTGATCGAGAAATGCTGGAAAAATTGACTGTGTCCTACGATGAAGCAGGTACATTTGTGGTTCTTTCTAAGTTACGTTTTACTGAAAGAAATAAAATTGCTCACTTTCGCTCTCCCGAATACTAGTGCTTGTGCTGGCAGGCTGAACCTTGTCCTGGCAAACTGAACTTTATCCTCAAAGGTACGAGGTGACTCAGTGAAACGTTTCTATCTCCTGAGATAGAAAATTTTCCGCTGGGGTGACTGACGACTGACTAGCTGGGAGGACAGGTACTTTTCTAACAGCGCCTTGTCCTTCGTGACGCGCTGATGTTGGCTGATCTAGCCGCGCCTCTTCATTGTCCCTGCAAGTGGTGCCACCTGGTTTCTGCTGTTTTCTTCACTGCTAACTTGGTTTTGGGCTTACTTAGCTACGAGTGTACTGGATAGTCACAGAATCTGATTTTTAAATGTGACATCATGCACGTGGAGAGCCAAAACCAGATAATTTGTAGAGCGTTGGAGGCATTTGAACAATTACAGGGGTTTTCAGTTTTGATGTTTATGTCCTAATTATTCGGAGGTTTTCTTAGCTAATACTTTATACTAGCACTTTGTTCTAAAGTAGTTAGAAATGCCTTCCAGCTTTTAGATCCTCCACGGAGTTGCCCTGATGCGTTGTCTTCTTTACAGCTACAGAGGCAAAAAGAGATGCTCCTGATGTTTTTCGCTGATCTTCCAAAATAGCCACCAATATCTGCGATGTGCCTGCTCCCCTCAGTATTACCGAGTTTCTCGGTGTTTAGATAAATTCAGATTAACTGCACAGCCTTGTAAAGAAAGAATGGAACCGAAAGAATAGTTTGTTATTTTACTGCTGAGTTAGCATTCAGGGCACCGCGGGGGCTGGCAGTGCGTGGGGAGGTCTGCATGGACGAGCCGTGGGCTTCCACTCCGGGTGTGTGCGTGCCTGGCTCCCCGTGCTCCCCCAGGAGCGCAGCTCTCGGCAGCCTTCATGCCTTAGCTCTGTCGGAAAGACGCTGCTCTCTGTTTCTCCTCTTCAACCACTCGTGGCTGAGAGCTGCAACACACCATCTCCTTTCCCCCACAGCCCCGCCAACCAGCCTCGGGCAGCCTTGTGGTATAAAAAGAGAGTTTGTAGTTAGTGTGTCCCCATTTGGGGGGGTTTTCTTGACCCTTGGTGGCACTTTCTCGTTCTGTTATTCCCCGGACTGCACCTGGCACCGTGGTGCCCTCGGGGAACCGTGCTGAGCTCAGCTCTGAGTTTTCCTTCCAGCTCCTTTAGGCAGAAGCCTCGAACTCCTAAGTGGGTTTTTCAGCCTGTTTGGATCGTGGTGCCGGGCGGCGGCCCGAGCGGATCACTCTTTGGTTTGGTTAGGTGGCACCTGCAAAAATCACCATCACCTGAGTTTCTCGTCACTAGTCCAGCTCTGGAAAACCAAGCGCTGACGAGCTGATGTTATTTTGTTCTGCTACTCTGTACTCACGCGGCAGGGCCCTGAAGTACTTAAAATACTCAAACTACTTATCAACTTTGTTCAGGCTCCTACTCAGACTCCCACTCGCTAGCAATACGATTCTCTCAAGCTACTTTGATCTCGAAGGCACTCGAGCAACTTAAAATGCCATTTGCAGACGGCGCGTTCTGGGTACTTGCAGGGCTGTGAGCTTTAGTAACTTCAAGCAATTACCGTGCTCTATTCCTTTATCAGATATATTCATGCCCTCACCAATAGATAAGCCTGATTCTCTTAAACTGTTTTGATTTCAAATGCTTTCGAGCCCCGTACGGTGCCATTTGCAGACTGCGCACGTCACGTACTTAAGGACTTGGAGTCATACGAGTTCTCGAAGGACAGCAGAGTTAAAATGAGGGCGCAGGGTGTTTGTTTAATCACATATGGCCTGGTTTTAATGATGCATAAAAAATAAGCCTCGAAAGTCGCCGCTTTCTGTTGCTTCTGTTTATCTCTCTTAACGCAGATTTTACCAGTCCAATGAATCACGTAGCTCTTTTTCCCTGGCTTGGTCACTTCATCTTTCCAGTGATTTTGATTGATAGTAGTTTGTTAGGAAGGAGAAAATGCAGTGGAGGAAATTTGCGACTCCTCTCGGAAGAAAAACAAAGCGTTTTCCTTCATTGAGAACTGTGTGTTGTAGAGAGAAAATAATGATTAAAACTGCTTGAAACACAGTTTTGGGGATTTATGTCATAGATAAAACAGTCATGTGGAAATGAGGTGCTACATAAATAACCAGTTTAGAAAAGTCCCAGCTTATACACACGTTCAGAACGGAGCGAGAGCGCAACTCGCTGTAAATAAAAAGTCAGAATTTCACCTCTAGAGAGTAAAACACGGAGACGGAGCCCACTTTCCATTCTAATCATGTCACTTGTTTACTACAAAAGCAGAAATGCTGCTACCTGCTCTTGAGGTGAGATCTGATTGTGAGCAAAGCACAGAAAATGGGCAGTTAAATGTAATTGCAGCAGCTGTTTGTGATCCCGAGCTCAAGCAGTTGTGTTGGTGACATTTTTCTTTTATTAGTAGTTTTCCATACCAAAGTCAATGTAATGAGAAGACCAAATTGCTGGTGGTACATACAAAACGAAGAAGGCAATCTTTAAAAATCAAAATGGTGAAAATAAAAGTGACAAGTGATCTAAGGGGACAATACAACTTTGTCTGGCAGGGGACTACAGGAGACATCCACAAAACCCACCCCGGAGAGCACTGTCAAGGGTTTAATTCCTGTAATCATGAGCAGTTGGGAGTCCTGCTACGTGCCAGCCAGGGCAGCTAGAAAGTTACACGTTCAAGGTACGTGATACAAGGGGTCAGTAGGCGACTGTAGCAGGGTGCTGCATATAGGGGAGCACATCCCCAGCAAGGGCACAGACCTTTTCCATCCAGGAAACCTGTCCCGGCCCCCCCCGGAAGGACCATTTTCCAAGAGTTCGTGGAGGGCTGCCCCCCAGCGAACTCCCTTCGCCCCAGGGATGTCTCCCACAGCAGGCAGAATTCAGCTGCATCCATTTGCCAGAGTGAAGCAGAACTGCACTGAAACGGCTCGGGCTTCTCGTACGATTTTGCGTGTTAATTTGGCCTTTCTAGCAACATGCAGTATTCATAAAGTGCAGCTCCGATGGACTCGACATCCTAGTGCCTCTTTTTGTAAATCTTTCCTTTTAGGAAGTCAGTATATCAGAGCTACCAAATCAAATGAGTTCATCTAAAAATAGTCAAATGCTGACAAGACGTTTAGTGAAGTTTGACTAAGGAAGCTTTATAAAATGAAAGCAGGCCAAAAGTAACAGATGGGTACAAATCCTCGTAATCTTTAAATCCCTTAGTTTAAAAAGTGGCATTCTTCACTAGCTAAGGCTGGGTTAATTTTGTGCTAGAATATTTCTTCTCACTGAAGCTTTCTTGGATCTTAATCCTATTCCTTCGATTTATAGCATCTCTAAACATCTGGGGTGGTCAGCGACTACGCTGTACAAACACAAGTTTAGGATATTTTGGTGTTTAACTCTGGTGTGCCAGGTAGCTAAAGCCTGCTAGGACATTCTGGTGGTGGTTTTGTACTGTAGGCAATAGGTTTTCCTTTAGTGGACGGCCCCTCTCCCCCAGAGTCCTGTAGAAATTGAGTTTCATTGTTGTGTGACAAAAAAAGATGTATTTCATTTTTCCCTGCCGTGAAGCAGTCGCGGAAGATACTGATATTTAGGCATTGCATCCAGAGCCAGATGTCAGCCCCAAACATGTTTTCTTAGCTAATATTTGCCAGGGTGCCCCGGGGTGCCCTACGTCTCCTGGAGGCCCCTGCGAGGAAAGCGCGTGGCTGCTCCTCCACGGGTCCTCCCGGAGGGGACCAAAAGCTCGTGCCTGGCCGGACCCCGCGCGCCTCTCCCTGCAGAGGAGATTGTTTTTGATTCCATTTGAGCATTTTTAGATTCAGTTGATGAGCACCTTTGCTTGAGACACTTGCTGTCAGTGCCATGGTGTTGCTCAAGGTGAGTTTTGATGCTAGCAGCCCGTGTCCCAGTTTGCCTGAATACTCCGATTTTAGCAACAAAATTTATCTTCTGCTGAGGTAAAATGTGGCCATCAGCCCCACCACACATGGCACTTTGGATGAGATGGGGATTTTACGCTACCTTCCCCAGCCCTGCCCAGGTGCTGTGCTCTCCCTGGGAAGCACACGATCCTGCAGAGCAGGTGATGCTTCGTCCTCCGCTCCTGGCTCCTGGCACCACTTAGTACGTAATGAATAGATAAGGAATTAAATCAACTCCTCGCATTCAGCCTGTACTTTTGCGCGTCGCAGAAGATTGGGTCTGGTTTCTCTAGCAGCTGTAGCTGTGAAAACCATCACCGAGCGTAAATCCGAGGCTCAGACCTTCATTCCGACTTCAGGACTGCAACCCGGTGTAGATCCAGTCCCGTGAGCATTAGCTGTTGCTGTCAAAAGTACAGAAAAGCAAAAAATACCCAAGATTAAACCTCAGCCCAAGAGGCTGGCAAATCCGTTTGCTTCGCACAAACGTCCATGCTAGTGTGGTCGCACTGGGAAAAGATTAACTGTAATCATCGAGGGGCCAACGGTGCCCCTTTTTCAATTACAGTGCTCCCTTTCTGGCAGCACAGGAAGGTGTTTTCCCCCAGAGAATGTGACTGCAAGGAGAAAATGAGAACATTAAAGCAGTAAAATTGCACCAGAAATATATCCTATTATTTGGGATAATAAATACTCTGCTGGGGAAAAACCTTTTTTCCCCATTGCAAAGAGCTTTACCAAGTAAAGTCATCGTTATGCTACATCACAGCGAAGATAAAGTAAGTTATCTTTGCTGTGATGTTTATCCCGAGGTGGCTCGTGCTCAGCAGTAAACCATTAAAAATGCAGAAAGAAATCTGTTGGGTTTGCTGTGTCCTTCTTTAAAAGAAAAAAGAAAATATTGTCTTGTAATGCACACTCATGCTTGGACCCTGCTTTTGGTATGTGTTTGACTGAGCCTTTTCAGAGAGGGCTTGGTCTCTGGGG